AAGACGTTGGGGGATAAGGACTTGGGCGGTTTTAAGCCATTACCACCTCTAGTGGATTCGTTGAAGAAAAAAGGCAGAAAGGAGGTGGAGGCTGTCTAAAAAAGAAGAAGAAGAGAGTAGAGAAAGAGGAGGAGGGGCTAGCGTTGAAGAGGATAAAGGAGGGAGTAGCAGAGGTGACCCTCGAGGTGGAGTTGGAGGGGACAATGAAGGGGGTAGAACGTGCCATGGGCCCTGGAACACAAGTGGAAAGTGGGGCGATTGGGTTTGAGCAGGGGACGGAGCAACTGCCCGAGGGGAGTCCTGTGCCTCAAGGAGAAAGAGGGGAGGCCAGGTTGAAGACCGCCATCTACCACGCGCGAGCAGTGTCCGGACGACTGGTAGGAGAAGGAGGTGAAGCCAAGACTGCTGTAGATTGGCTCTTGGGAGTAGTGGAGGACGCAGCCGTGCGTTCGATGTCAAGCTTTACAGAGGCCAAACTGCTAAGGGGGCTTTGCTCGGCCCAGATGGAGGCGACGACCTTAGCAGGAGCCTTGTTGAGCAAAGCGACGTGTGCAAAAGGCAAAGTAGAGCCACTGAAGACAAAGCTGGAGGAGGTGAAGGCCCAGCTGAAAGGTTTAAAGATAGAGACTGGGGGCTGGAGGAAAGCCGCGCGGAGTGCGTGTGCTAAGGGGCTAGAGTATTCCCAGAAAGCCAAGAAGATGGAAGTGTTGACGATGGTGCAGGGCTATTCAGCGGAGCATGCTAATGCTGAGCTTCTCACGACCAAGTTAGAGTTGGAAACGGAATGCCGCAAGGTGTTATCGCTTGAGTTCTTGTTGGCTGGCGAGCAGAAGAAACTTGAGGAGGCCCAGAAAGCCTGCACCACCGGCAACGAAAGGTGGGATGAGGCCATGATTTGTAATGAAGATCTACGAGCTCAGTCGATCAAGGAAAAGGAAGAAGCAGATCAGAGGATCGCTGAGTTGGAGAAGGCGCTGGCGGAGGAACAATCTAGATTGGCGTCTGAGAAAGCGGCGTACCCCGACCTGTGCAAGGCGATGGTAGAGCAATTCAAGGAGTCCGCCGAATTCTAGATAGCCATTGATGCTGTAGTCACCAGAAGCTTGTCTAGAGAAGGGGATGGGGGGGCTGGGCCATCGGGAGCGGCCGCTGGAAGTAGGAGCGAAGAGGAAGTGATCCAGAGTTTCCAGCGGTCGGACTTCTACAAGCATGAGATGGCTGAGTTCTGGGACAGCGGTTGGAAAACCTTTAAACATAAAACGAAAGAGCTGTTCCCAGACTTGGACTTCAGCAGAGTGAAGATAGATGAAAACGACGTTGCCCAGACCCCTCTGGACGAGGGGATTGAGGAAGAAGACCTGGCCTCAAGTGAGGAAGAGTGACTTATGTAAAGATTTTATGTTTGTGTGTGTGTGTGTGTGTGTGTTTTTTTTTTGTTATGTGTAATTTTTGTAGTTAATTGTAGGTAACTGTGAGTTTGTAAATGAAGGACAGAGCAGAATTAAAAGAAGACAGGGTAGTTTATGAGTTGTATATTTCAAAAATAATGAAAGTAAGACTTGTGTGTGAATTGTGAAACTTGCTAGCCAAAGTTGTAGAAAGTTGAGAAGTGGGCAGCTAGTCAAACTTGTGAGGAAACCATGATGCAAAGAACGTCAACACGTTAAAAATGTTAGAAAGGAAGGATTGGCTTGGACGATTATACATCTGGTTTTTAACTGAATTAAAAATGTAAAGTTAAAAGTGTTATAGTATGGACCTGAATTTTAACTAAGTATGGCAACTATGCTGTGATCATGAAATTACGAGAATGGTTAGGTCGAACTCTTTGTTCGTGCTCGTGCTCAGTGCTTTGATTAACTCAGTCTGGTTGAGCCCTTCGTGCTCAGTCTGGCTGAGGCTTTAATTAACTCAGTGTGGCTGAGCCCTTCATGCTCAGTCTAGCTGAGGCTTTGATTAACTCAGTTTGGCTGAGCCCTTCGTGTTCAGTCTGGCTGAGGCTTTGATAACTCAGTTTGTGCTCAGTCTAGCTGAGGCTTTGATTAACTCAATCTGGCTAAGCCCTTTGTGCTCAGTCTGGATGAGGCTTTGATTAACTCAGTCTGGCTGAGGGTTTGGTTAACGGCAGGTAATTTGATTTGACAAGTCGTTATTGAAACACGACGCAAATAACAGAGATGTAAGATCATTGTCATTTAAGGCGTGGCCGATCGGTCACGAATTTACACCATGTATGAAAAGGACAAAAACAACCAAGTGTGTGGATTGTCAAGAAGAACATGCTACAATTGATCAATACAAAAATATGACTTTATTGAAAATAACGCTTCAAGTGCTCGGCGTTCCATGGATGGGGGAGATCTCGACCTTTTATGTCCTGAAGTCGGTAAGTGCCCGGATGAGGTCTGGCCTTAACAACGTAAGGTCCTTCTCACTTGGCAGCCAGCTTGTCCTTAGCCGGATTTTTAGTGGCAAGAGTTGCTTCGCGCAAAACAAGGTCCCCTACGGTGAACTCCCTCAGTCGAACTTTGCCGTTGCAGTGTGTTCACATTTTTTGTTGATATGAGGCCCGTCTGATAGCAGTGGTCTCTCGGAGCTCTTCAATCAGGTCTAAGTCTGCCCGACGCAATTCTTCAGTTAGTTCCAGATTCGAGTGCAGAACCCTCGGGGTTGGCAGATTGATTTCCATTGGGATGACAGCCTCAGCGCTGTATGTTAAGCGAAAGGGGGTCATCCCAGTGGGGGTTCGGGTGGTAGTGCGGTAGGCCCAGAGTACGTTTGGTAATTCCTTAGCCCAGAGTCCCTTATCGACTTCCAACTTAATTTTAATGATCTTTAGTAGAGAACGACTAGTAACCTCAACTTCTCCATTGGCTTAAGGATGACCTGGGGGAAAGAAGCATGGCTGGATATGAGCTCTGCACAAAACTTCCTGAACTTGGCGTTATCGAATTGCTTGCCGTTATCTGAGACGATGGCTTGAGGGATTCCAAATCGGCATACAATCGATTGCCAGATGAATCTGGTTGTGTTCCGTTCGGTGATTGTGGCGAGGGGTTCCGCTTCCACCCATTTAGTGAAGTAATCGATGGCGAACGACAACAAACTTGGTTTGGCTCCTGCCAGTGGGCAATGGGTCGACTAAGTTGATCCCCCATTTGGCGCATGGATAGGGACTGCAAAGTGTGATCAGTTCTGTAGGTGGAGCATAGGGGATGTTGGCGAAGCGCTGACATTTATCACACTTAAGTACGAAGTCAGTGGTGTCTTGGTTGAGAGTTGGCCGGAAGTAACCGATGCGAAGTATTTTATAGGCTAATGACCTGGCACCTGAATGATTACCACATACACCCTCGTGGACTTCCTGCATCACATAGATCGCTTGAGCAGGATTGAGACATTTGAGGTAAGGTCGTGAAAATCCACGTTTGTACAAGAGGCCGCTGATGAGAATGTAATTGGACGCCCTGGTCCTAACTTTGGCGGCCTGTTGTTTGTCGTTTGGAAATTTCCCATTTGTCAAAAACAGAAGGATGTTGTCCGCCCATGGGATAGGCTTATTTTGGAGGAAGTGGACCTCCTGCTGGTCTGGCGAAATAGCCGGGTGGGCTAGGTATTCAAGGCAGACGCCATGGCTAAGGTCTGAGTGGTCGGCTGAAGCTAATTGAGCCATTTCATCTACCTTGGAGTTTTCGGATCGAGGGATGTGTTGGATGTGGAAAGTGTTGAAAAGGCGAACAAGGGGGAGTGCAACATCCCTATAAGCTCGCATTGTGCTTCCTTGGCGTCAAATTCCCCCATGATTTGTCCGACGATCAGCTGAAAATCGCTGAAGACCTGGATATGACTGACACCAATGTCTCTGGCTAGGCGAATACCTGCTATCAGGGCCTCGTATTCGGCTTCATTATTGCTTGTGTGGAACAAGAATCGAAGAGCACACTTGAAATAACCTCCCTCGGGGGCGGTGAGGATGAGACCAACCCCACTGCCTTCTTTGTGGGATAATCCATCGACAATGAGGGTCCAAGAGTGGGGATCTTCTGTCTCAGTGTCGAATTGCTTGGGCGGTGGGGTCGTTGTTGAGGTGGGATTGGTGAATTCCAAGATAAAATCAGCGACAGCCTGTCTTTTGATTGCTGTCCGAGGTCGGTAGGAGATTTCGAATTGGCTGAGCTCGACAGACCATTGTATAAGTTTGCCGGACAGCTCTGGTCGTTGCATGATCTTCTTCAAAGGTTGGTCAGTGAGGACCACTATGGAGTGGGCGTGAAAATAAGGTCGGAGTCGTCTTGAGGCTATGACCAAGGCCAGGGCCATTTTTTCCAGCAGTGGGTAGTTCTATTCTGCTCCCCTAAGAGCCCGACTGATGTAGTAAACTGGACGCTGGACTGGGCTATCTTCCCTAATAAGGGCTGCACTGACCGCGATGTTTGATACGGCTAAGTAGAGAAAAAGGGGCTCACCCGTGAGCGCCTGGGAGAGTAAGGGGTTTGCCATGCACTGCTTCAATTGTTAGAAAGCCTCTTCGGACTTGGTTGTCCACTCGAAAGCCTGCCGAAGGACTTTGAAAAAGGGGAGGCACTTGTTTGTTGCGCGGGAAGTAAAATGATTGAGAGCGGCGACTTTGCCTGTAAGCCTTTGAACCTCTTTGACCGTTCTAGGTGACTGCATTTCTATTAGAGCCTTGATCTTTTTAGGGTTAGCCTCGATTCCCCACTGACTGACCATGAAACCTAAGAATTTTTCAAATCCGATGCCGAAGACGCATTTCTCCGGATGTAGCTTCATCTATTGCTTTCGAAGGGTGTCGAAGGTTTCCCGCAGGTATGCCAGATGATCGGAGGAGAGTTTGCTCTTGACGAGCATGCCATCAACGTACACTTCCATGTTCCGACCTATCTGGTGATGAAAGACGACTTTGACTAACCGCTGGTAAGTTGCTCTGGCATTTTTCAACCCAAATGGCATGACACGATAGTGGTATGTTCCTCGGTCAATTATGAAGGAGGTGTGTTCCTAGCCAGTTGGTGGATCAGAATTTTATTGTATCCCGAGAAGGCGTCCATGTAGCTGAGCATTTGATGTCCGGCTGTGGCGTTGACAAGCATATCGATGTGAGGGAGAGGATAGCTATCTTTGGGGCAAGCCCGGTTGAGGTCCGAGTAGTCGATGCAGAGTCTCCATTTACTATCATTTTTACGGACCATGACTATATTTGACAACCATTTGGGGTAATCTACATTCTGAACAAACCGCGCATCTAGTAGTCTGTCGGCCTCGGAGGCAATAAGAACATTGCGTTATGGGTGAAAGATACACTGTTTCTGGCGAAATGGTCGAAAATGGGGCTCAATGCCAAGACGATGGGTTATGAAGGAGGGATCGATACCCGGCATGTCAGAGTGGGTCCAGGCAAACACGTCATTGTGCTCAATCAGGAGGGCTGTGAGGTCAGCCTTGGCTTGGGAGGATAACTGGCTGCCGATCTTGGCAGTTTTTGTTGGGTCAGCAGGGCTGATGAAGACCTCAACAAGTTCTTCTACTGGTTCCCCTCTGACTAGTTCGTCTTCATCTCTGACGTCGAGTCCTTCAATGATCATGGCCTCCTTCGGCTTGACCTCTTTGAGTGAAGCGACGTAATATCCTCTGGCCATAGTCTGCTCTCCCCTTACGGTGCCGACCCCGAGATCAGTAGGGAATTTCATGGCTAGATGGAATGTGGATGTGACAGCCTGAAAAATGTTTAGGGCGGTGCGACCAAGGATGATGTTGTAAGTAGAGGGACAATTGACGACGAGGAAAGTGAGCAACTTGGTGGTCTGCTGCGGGTACTCTCTGATTATGATGGGGAGATCGATGGAGCCTATGGAGGTCACCCGATCCCTCGTGAAATCGACCAGTGGGGTTTGGAAAGGGGACAAACTTTCTTTCCCGACCTTGAGCTGGCGATAGGCGTTGAGGAAGATGATATCTGAAGAACTGCCATTGTCGACAAGCACTCGTCTGATTTTATAGTTGGAAAGGAGAGCAGAGATGACTAGGGGGTCGTCATGAGGGTAACAGATGCTTGTGCAATCGGCCCCCGTGAAGGTGATGGGCTCCATCCACTGCTTGGGATGCTTGAAGGGGCGGTCCAACGTTGCAACTTCTTTATTGGAGCCCTGCCTGATTTTCCTGAGTTCTGCTCGTTGGGCCGAGCGAGATGGTCCTCCACAAGCAAGTCCTCCGGCGATAACTCTGATCTCTCCGACCGGGGAAGCGGGGTTGCCTTGTGCTCGAGGTTGTTGTAAGGTTCGACCCTTTCCTTGGTTAGGCTGTGCGGGTTGTCGAGGAGGGGTATTTCGGTGGTTGTTTCTGGTGGGTTCAGTTCTTGGCCGCTGATGAGGGCGGGCTGCCGTGAACCGACTAAGACGCCCCTGACGTATCAAGCTTTCGACCAGATCTTTAAGGTTAACACACTCCTCAGTGTTGTGGTCATGGTCCTGATGGAAACGAAAGTATTTGGTCTGGTCTCGCCGATTAGAAGGAGACCGCGATGGTTGGGGCCACTTCAGGGGATAATCTCATTGGATCTGGTTCAAGACTTGTTCCATGGAAGAATTGAGGGATGTGTACTATTCGAAACGTCCGGGCGGTCAGGTAGGTGCCGACCGGTCGGCTTGAGCAGAACGGTCGGCATACTGAGGTGTTTGTTGTGTGTACTGGGTGGTTCTGGTTTCACAGTCCTTTTTCTTCTCTCTAGGAGTCAGGTTTTTGGTTATGGAATCTTGTCGGGCGGCTAGAGAATCTTCGACATGCATGTATTTTTGGGCTTTGGAGAGGAGGGTTGCCATGGAGGTTGGAGGGTTTTTGGAGAGGGAGAAAAGGAAATCGAATGATCAGAGACCGGCCATGAAAGCCGCGAGGATGACCTTGTCGTCATTTTTCGCCACCTGTAAGGCTTTATTGTTGAAGCGGGTGACGAAGCTGCGCAGCGACTCCCCCTCCGTCTGACGAATGTTGAGGAGTTGAGTTGAAGGACGCCGTTGGTGTTGGGCACCAATGAAGTGGCTGAGGAAGGAGTCACATAGGTGCTGGAAAGTAGAGACAGAGTCTGTTGGCAGCTGCCCAAACCACAGTCGGGCCGATCCCTTAAGTGTGACGGGGAAAGCCCGACACATGATCTCGTCAGGGAAAACATGGAGGATCATGAGGGTCCTGTAAGTCTCCAAGTGGCCGACTAGGTCCGTTGTACCATTGAAAGAGTTGATCGAGGGCATTTTGAACTTAAGAGGTAAAGGTTTGTCCCTGATGGAGGCAATGAATGGTGAGTTGGCCGTGGTGGAGGGTTTATTCTGTATGTTCTGCATGACTCCTTGAAGCTGGAGCTTTATGGCTCGGAGTTTGGCATCCCAAAGAGGAACGTTGTCACCACCGGAGTGTAGTGGAGGCTGGACGCTACTGGTCTCTCCCTCGGGGGCAGGTGGTGGGGCTGATGGCTGTGGGACCCGAGGTGGTGGGTTTATGTCTTGGGGAGGAGGTCACAAGCCCTCCAAGTTGGATGGGTAAGATTGTTGGATGGGTTGGCTCGGGGCTCATTCTCGATTGGGTGGGGCATCTTGAGGTGGTGGAGGAGGTATAAGAAGGTTTCTTTGAAGTAGAGCATTGATCAGGGCTTTGTTCAGCTAGGCGCTTAATGTTGCTGGTGAGCTCGGTGAAATACTGCGGTGGGTTGTTTGGGTTAGGGGGGTCGGCTTGAGGGTCGGCAACGTTGTGTTGAGAAACCATGGATCTGGTTGTGACCATCCACCTTGGTGGGTGGGAGGTGAGGATTATCAGAAGTGGGTCTCCGGCGACAATGAACACAGTTACCAGACGAAGCAAAAAGGTTCCCACAGACGGCGCCAACTGATGATGCAACTTGTTTCAAATGGAACGGATCAGACTGATCTGCGCTTCCCGAACGGGTACCCAGGGGCCGAGCTCACCAAGAAACCTGAACAAGAGTTTAATGGGGAACGGGGAGTCCCTCAGCGAACCGTCCGATGAACAAGTTAGAGAGGAGAATGAGTAATAGAATATGGAGATAGGATGATGATAGAAAAGCTTAACCTTTTGCCTTGTCTTCGAAACCTACTTATATCCTCTACTAATTATTTCCTTATTCCTTTCGACTTGTCACGTTGGCCAAAAGTCTATGTTCTAGCTTGCCTTGTTCATGGTGAGGTCGTTCTGTTCCGACGGGGAGGGGTTATCGCAATAAATGCTACAGGGAACCTCATTAATGGCTAATGTGTGGTGCAATAACTTTGCAGAATCTTTGTCTGCTGATGTGGCTGGTTTTACTCTTGACAGCTGTCTGGATGTCATTGGTTCTTAATGCCACGTTGAGCTCCAGTACTGTAGGGCTCCAGCACTGTTGGGGTTTAGTGTTTGAATTATGTATTGGGCTCTAAGTGATGTGTCAAACGCTCCTATAAGCCTACCTATGTCAAGAGTAATTCAAATAATTTATCTTTTCTTTTATCAAATTAATCTGATAAAAAAGTGTTTAAAAATTAGTTTCATTTTTATTTTTATTTTTATTAAGGTTTCTTTTAGCAAGTTGGTTTTGTAGTAAAAAAAAGTTGGGTTTATAGTAAAAAAATCTCTATAAGTTGTTACGTCACTCAATTTACTTTTTGTATATATTTTCATAAAAACTAATACAAACGGGCCTAAATGTTCATCAAATTAAGAGAGATTGTTTTTGTTATCAAATTAAAAACTCAACAAAACATTCATTAAATTTGAATTTAATGAAAAATTAAAACAATTGGAACATTGGATATGATTTTTTTTCATTGAATTTGATGAAAAGAAAAATTTGGAATAAAAGAAAAAAAAAATTGATGAAACAATTGGAATAGTTTTCTTTTATAGTATTTTTTGAGACAATTAATAATTAATATAAAATTAATTACTTAGTTGGATTTTTTTTTCTAAAATTAATAGAGATAAAATTAACAATTCATGCAATTAGTATAAGGTTAATTATTTAGTTGAATTAGTGGGACAAATAATTTCGTTTTGTTTACTTCTATTTTGCAATAAATATAAAATTATATAATCTCAATTATATGTTTATTTGGTATTATGGAGGACATATTAGAAAATTATTTTTTCAAATACTTGTATCTCAATTAATCCATAACATATTCTTGTATTCTAATAAGTCTTATTATTTAGACATTTGCTCCACTAAATCTTAATTCTCATATTTAAGATATTTTATGAACGATTTTACCCTTATAAATATTTTTTTAACGGTTAGCACTTTAATGATTTGAGCATTTATATTTTATAGTGTGGATATTCACATTAACGTGTGAATATTCATATCACGAAACATTTACATTATTAATGTGAATATTATTATTAGGGATATTTTAATAATTATGTCACCAAAAAAACTTATTAAAACATAAAAAATAATTTGAACTAAGTAGAATATAAGTAGGTGAAAAGAAATTTATGAAGCAATACCCTTACAAGGAAATTTATCAATTTTAATAAATAAAATGTCAATTAAAATATAATTCAAATAATAAAAATTACAACCAAATACTAAGAATGTAAGCCCTATAATTTAATAATCTCAATTTTATAACCATAAGAATACAATCTTCTGTTGCCATGTTTTTTGTTTTATTTTGTTTTTTGATTGAATGTTTTTTTTTTTGCTTTGGATTTCGCTAATTTTCTGCTTGCGTGGGTTAAAACTGTGAACTTGTAATGAGATCCAACTATGGTTTGTGTTCCCCGATCGATAAATATTTTTAAAATTTTGTGCAGAGTCTCCTACGTTGCTTTGTTGAATGATTCACAAATAAATTATAATTTTCTTATTAAAAAAATAGCGTTGAAGCTATGCTATACGCAATTGTTATATATATATTTTTGATGGACTTTTCTTAAGTGTGTCTTGCATATGGTATGCAAGGCATTTACGACATTGTATTTACACCTTCTATGTATTGAATTTTTTTGCATTTACACCATTTACACCTTGCATATGGTGTGCAACCTTAAGGGGGTTGCACACTTAAACATTACCCATTTTTGATATGTTAATTTTGCCTTAATAAAATACAATAAAAAAATCATTATGTAGAAAATAAAAATTATGCGAAATATTAACAATGTAATGATAAAATGTAAATCAATTAAACAAATTAAATTCAAATCAATCCAAATAATAATGAAATCAAATATACACTAATTTTTCATCCATTTAAACCAAAACTAATAATAAAAATCTGTTGGCTTTTTTGGCTTTCGAAGGTTAAAAATGTAATTAGAGCATGTTAGTAAAGATTAATAAGTTCTTACAGAAATAATAAATGTCAACCAATTAACTAGACGATTGCTTCGAAATTCTTTTAATCTCAATGAAGAGCATTTTTACTTGTGGCTCATTCAGAAGAAAATTCTGAAGAACCAATCACGAAAGTAAATAAGGAGTGAGAAAACAGTGTCAGAAATTTTATTAAGTAAACTAGTGTTTACAATAGTACCTTTGCACTTCCATAACTTCAAAGGGGATTACAACAACGAATAGACTAACTTAGAAGTACTCCAAAAAAATTGAAATGCAGTGCGAGAAAATAAAGAACTGGACAATAAAGAACTGAAAGGAAAATGTAAAGTAAATAAATTGATTTCTGGATCTGGTTTCTGGTGCCTTCATTGTCAGCTTTCTTCTCTATTTATAGGCTCTGGAGGTAACCATCAAAGTGGCTGATAACTGTCGAAGTAGCTAGTAACCGTCAAAGTAACCTCCACTAACATCAAACATGGCCCCAAGCAGTACTAAGTCACTTTTACAGTTGGACTTCTCTCATGAATTTGAATTTAAACTTCCAATAACTGTTTGGCCGTGTCACCCTGCTTATCTCGATTGTTCTAATATTTTGCAGATCCATTGCCATTGATATAATTTGTCACGTGTCCTCTGACGATTGGAGACCTTCACTAATTTCCCAAACAATCCCTAATGGACCACGTGCCAGGTCGTTGCTAGATGATACAAAATATTTGGCCAACATTACCCCCTGCACTAATATAACCAAGACTTAGTGATATT